AAGGAAGAAGATGTTGCATGAGATCCACACTCTCCCCATGAGAGAACACTAGGTTCGGAGTTGAGGGGGACTGCTGTGAGTCATAATGCGTGGGCTTAATGACATGTTGGACTAGGGCTAGCAATATACTAGATTCCAGCAGTTTATGATCAAGGGAGTTGATTAAAGATGGAGTTGCAAGCTCGTCTAGTCAACTGTTGGGGTGTTGAAGTCGCCGACTACCAGACTTCGACATTTCAAAGTCCAGGAGCCTAGCTTCTCTATTAGGAAGTTACCTGCTCTACAGTCAGGACTGCGGTATATAGCAGTAAGGAAAATGTCTTCGCTTATGCATTTAAGTCTGTAGCGTAGAAGCTCGCACGACTCACTGTCGTGAACGAGTGCTTCAATACTATCTCCGGTTAAGCATTTCTTTAGGTAGGTGACTGAACACCTCATTTGCGGTTTAGTCGGTCCACCCTATGCATCTCGCAGTTTGGCAGGTTAACTTCGTTGTCAGTGATATCGGGTGTGAGCCATGTTTCTGTGATGATAATTACATCCGGGTTTCCGGAGTCCACATGTTAACCAGCTCAGTCCATTTGCTCAGAAGGCTGCGGGCATTTGTGTAGCAAACTGTTAATTCAGTTTGGTGCTTCCGTGGCCTACCCACAGAAGTTTCGGGATCATCAAACCGCGAACTTTGAAAACCCGAAAACCCTTAATCTTAAGGTTCTCTTCTCCATTTCGACGTCCTTCACTTAGTTCTAGAGTCGCGGGCTGTCTTTTGACACGGTCTGCTAGGCTTAAGTCGGCACGGACATATATGCATGATCCTTTAGGAATTTGAGAGTTGCTTAGAATAGCATCCCTCTGTTCTTTGGAGTTTAGTACGATTTTGACACGTCTAGGCAGATTAAGTGTAGGGTTAGGCTTTTGGCCGATTATATATACGCTGTGTATAGTAAAGAACGATACAGTTTCTGGCAGTGCATGCAGGCGCATTATGTCTTAGGCGTTTTGCCTCGAAGTTTCTGCAAGGAGCCGGAACAGTTTGATAGTCAGGAAGTGCTTGTTCAACCTAGATCAGATCAAATGAAAACGAAAAACAGGCAGTCCAAAATACGAGATAAATTTCGGGATCAGAAACATGTAGCAGTGATGTCTGCTATGGTTGGTTTCCGAAAGACAAAACGTAACGTGATGACTTTCAAAATGGTGCGTGTCAGCCACGTCTCGTAAACCGTTAATGGCCAGCTCTTGCTACGCTCGGGCCCACGCTGTTCCTTGAAGTTTCTCAGAAACGCTTAGTAATAACGGACGAAAAAACCAAAACACCAATTGTTGACTTGAGTATTCTATATTGTTACACCAACATATAAACAATGTTACAACTAAGCTCTGTGAACAAATATTACAATAATGAATCACAATATTACTTCTGACAGTTGTCTCCTGACTTCTTTCTGAACAGCGACCGATGAGACGATGACTGTCGTATTGATGCCTCTGCGAAAATTGGGGAAGTTGGTTTTGAGCAAACAACCAAGAATTGATCGTTCAATCTTCAACTGCATTGACAGTGTGGGTGCTTGACTTTTTACTTTCAACTTCGCTGTTTCATCTAAAGGGTGAAGGTCACCATCCAATACTGAACTATGAAAGTTGTAGGTTAACAATCATTTGGAAACATTTACTGGTACGGAATGACTTCCCTTGAGAGATTCAAACATAAGATATCAGTGCTAATACCATCAGCAGCTGTTGATAGAACTCAGTCACCATCACCGACAGCTTGACTCTGGTGACTACTGAGCATTGAAGATGTATGCCATTTGATGGTTTGGCGTGATCTTCTCCTACCTCTCCTTTGATGACTGCTTTCGGTTCACTTTATGTCACCACCACACTGAGTCACAAAAATATATTATCATGATTTTTCTTGAGTGCAGACTGTAAACGTAGGTGAAGTCAAATTACAGCAACCACTCATGCACATGACCCTCGATAACGAGTTATAAACGAGTCAAACTATGGCTTTTGTTCTAGATTCGCTTAACAAGCCCCAGAAATTGTGAGTTTTTATAACTGTATGAATAATAGACTACTTAGAGTCACTAAAATAAACACATGGGGGGAAAGCTAGATAGGATATCCAGTCTTTTAGGGAGACTGGGATTTTCAGGGTTGATTAAAGGACGGAACCAAACACCAATTGGCGACTCGAGGATTCTTTATTGTTACACCAACATATAAACAATGTTACAACTAAGCTCTGTGAACAAATATTACAATAATGAATCACAATATTACTTCTGACAGTTGTCTCCTGACTTCTTTCTGAACAGCGACCGATGAGACGATGACTGTCGTATTGATGCCTCTGCGAAAATTGGGGAAGTTGGTTTTGAGCAAACAACCTTAAGTTTGCCGAAGCCATTTCCATCAAGCGCATGAAACCTGATTTATGCGTCCAGAAAGAAGCGGTTATCAGCCTTTCTTTGCCCTGGTAACTGGATAATTTCACCTCTCTTTCCTCCGAATGTGAAATGCTAAAAGTTTCCATTGTGTTTGATTATTATTGTTCGGAATAGTGGTTAATATTGCATATTTATATATGTATATATTTTTAGTGTATGCGTATATTGATCGATTGATTTTTGTTTAAACTGAACTCTGTGCAAGTATGTTAAAATTGTTGTTGTAGATATATTTAATAATGTCTTTGCCATGTAAGCAGCTGACGAGAAGGCAACGAAATAAAAGATGGTACCATTTTATTCTGCTAAAACTGCAGTTCTCGCATTGTTTAAATTCATTAAGGGGAATAAATGTATGAAACCATGAATTGATCGTTCAATCTTCAACTACATTGACAGCGTGTTTGATTCTCTTCAGGATGATGCGGCTTAGTATTTCGCTTGGGATAGAGCATAATATTTCGCCAGTTCTTGCATTAAGTCCCCTTTCTTTGGCAGTTTGAGTAAGTAGCCTTCCATCCAGTCCATAGGTATCTTGCCCTCCTCCTACACCTTCTCCAGTAGTGGTGTCATCAAGTCCTCTGATGTCTCTGGGTCCATTTTCAATGCTTCCTCTAGGATTCCGTCTGGTCCTTCTGCTTATCCGGTGTTTAACATCTTTATTGCCTTCAGGATTTCTGATTTCGTCGGTAGGCTGATGCTGTAGCTAAAAATTTTGGGGAATTACCTACCGCTACACTGGCAGTAGCGGAGGAGGTCATGTGAGGAGGAAATGAAAGCATGTTGGCTGACTTGGAGCGGAGTGAAAAAGTTGGCAGAAAACAGAAGGCAATAGAGACGCGCAGCTGAAGCCCTATGTTCCTCTAGGAATTAAAGGATGTAATAATAATAATACACTAGCAGTACAAATGGTCTTGAGTGATGCTATCAAGAGTGAGACCTCTTGTGATATGGGCTTACCTACCGCTACACAAGCAACAAATTCAACAGTGAAAAACTTCCATGAATCTCAAATATCTATAATGTATCAGAATGCCTAAATTATTCCAACTATTCTCTTATGGTTCTTATGTCTCAGTATTATATTCTCCATTTGCCTTAAGATGTGAGACGAGTGATTTTCACCTTACATTATGTGGCGTTTAATAATTCTCAAAAATTATTAGCCTACATGATTCTTCATTCAACAACACTGGATGCTGATCTTCACTGTTTAACTCGATTCATGAAGCTAAAAATACACAGTTACACAACCATGCCATCCATTTTGCATTTTATTGTGTTACATTAGGTTGTTCATGAACGAACTGTAGCCAGTAGTTAGGCAATAATCATCGATCTACATTTCTTTTCCAGAAATATATATGTGACATATTTTCGATAATGTTTTGATGTCTTGTATTTGCACATAGTGTATCTCACGTCTAACTGCCGGCATTCTTCATCTTCTAAAAGTCCCCATTACAATTCTTTGACAAAGTAAATGACTGCTGACATACACGTCATCAGTTGACCTCTATTCTTTCAAGCATTTATAAAATTTGAGAAGAAAAAATTCCGATTAATCTTCTCTAATCACACTGCATGATTATTGTTCAGCTTTACTTCGAATAATAAATGACAGTTACTCAAACACACACACATATAGCAGATTGGATGTCAATCCCCTCAACACAGTAAGTAAACATTAACTAGATTATAGGATCTATGGAGATTTGAATAAATTGAATTTCCACTGTTAAACTTCGCCAAAGTTAGAATTCCCTGGGAACTGAATTCTGGCCGCCCAAATGGATGAATGATCAACGAGCTTCATATAGTGACGTGAAGGTCACGAGTTCTATCCTAGGTGGGTGTGTTGATGCATGCGGAAAAAACAGTTCTCCGGTGACTCTTGGTATTCAGTGATCGCTAACTATAGTTGGTTCGTGACGAAGATGTAACAAGTGAAATAAGTACTATTTATTAAGACTCAGTTAACTATCTGGAATCAATTTTTTTTTATTGTACCTGGCTATGAATACATTTGTTGAACAAGGACTGATGATACTGTAACGATAGAAGACAAGGGCAAGGCAACAGATCGTTCATTGAGAAAATCAACAGATATTTATAGATTTTTAAGTACATCATTATACGTTACTATTTGCAGAGAAACCGCGTCTTCTGATTGGTTGTTTTCTCGCTGAAAGTTATTCTCTCATCTCTTTGTGCCTGTTTCTTTGAAGATCAGACCATATGGCTGTGAATCGCATTCGTCCACGCAAAGCCTTCTGTGTGATTGGTTGTTGAGTTAGTCTTTGTTCTTGTTTTTTTCTCATGACCAAGATCTAGAACGTGTAAACATTGACACAAATTACTGTCTACCAATTTTGGCTAGCAGACTGCTTTCACCACAATACTATCTTATCTAGGCATAAAATTGATCTCAAGTAGGATTCTAACCTAAAAACAAGATCAAACGCTGAACTCAATGAAACACACTCGTACATATACGGAAAAAGGAAGAAGTATATTTAATAAATTACTTATGGTAACTATGGTTACGTAAATATTTGTATATATTCTTTTATTACTCTTTATTATTATTACTAATACTATTATGATTTTACATATTGAAACTTGAAATTCTAAAATGTATTCATTTTGGTTTTTCTTTCTTTATTTTAGTAAAGTGAAAATAGAAATCCCACCTGAAATAAACTTAGAAAAAATGCACTTTTCTATAGTGAGAAATAAACTAAAACCAGCAACAAGAACAAGAACACAAAAATACACTAGGGAAATGAGAATTGAGTAAAATAATGACAAAAATACATACGCATAATAAAATAAGATGAGTAAGAGAGTAGGCTCTGTGTCTCTCTACCTCACTCTTTCTCTCTCATTCCTTTCACTTTTAAAAAGGAATGAAACTGACTCACAATCTGTGCATATTTGTATTTTAAGAAAATTATCTGATTTGTGTAATTCTGCATTCAATTTTATTACTCAACTATTTATTGATTTATAGTCAAATTGTCAGAGTTTCGATTGACTAACTGAGGGAGAATTACAATGATGACGATGTTGATGATGGAACTGTAGGCGACGATTTCAACGATACTGATGATTATAACAACGGTGATTATATTCATAGCAAGGAAGATGGATAATATGATGTGAATAAAATCAATATTTATAGAAGAAACTGACAAAAAGTTAATTCTTCGAAAAAATAAAAATTAATAAACAAACAAATAAATAAATCTATAATTAATTATCACTAGATAAAAGGACAAGAAAGACATACAATTTGTAAAAATGGAGCTGAGGAAACATAAAACCAAAAAATAAGCCACAAAAAAAACCAAAAACAACGAGGAATCAGGTCAGCAATATGCTGAAATTCTAAGCTGTTGTCATTATCTTCTAGATTTTGGATCAGGTAAAGCACGTTGATTCTTCGGCTGCTGCAGCTGTTGTTGTTGTTGCTCTTGTTGTTCTAGGAAATTTTGACGAGTTTCTGGCGGTAAAGCATCAGCCAATGTTTGAATATCTGGATTGTCAATACCAGTTAAAGCAATTTTAGCTAATTCAGGTAATTCAGCAAATGGGAACCATGCCTCACCTAACGGGGGAAAAAAGGAGGAGGGGGGGAAATTTGAAGGAAATTATTTATTATTAAATAAATTAAAGTAACACAGTAACGATTGTATTGATTGGTTATACTGTACTGAGATGAACGGTCCTTGTTGATACTTCGTCTCGCTTAGGACACGAGCCTCAACGATGTCTTAAGATGATTAATGCGGCTGGTCAGCTCCAGAGTTTGAAACGATGGGTACTGTGTTCGAGACTCAATGAGAACACCACTACCACGTCCTGATGACGAGTCGCGAATAGGATGAAATGATCATCTTAGATTTATTTTCAAGAGTTGGCTTGTGAGGATTAGATTTGTTTTTACGAGTTTCATCACGGATTGATATCAGTTAGACAGCCATTGAAAACCAGCCAGGGAGTACTGGGGGGAATCACCGGCAGTACGCATCACCCATAGCCGAGGTTCGAACTCAGGGCCTTCCAGTTACAAGACAAGCTCGTATACCATCCAGACACTGAAACCCGATTCAATGGCCCATGAATTCTAACCTGGATGAAACAGCTGTCCAGTACTCCAATGCTGGTTTTCAATGGTTCTTTAACTGATATCAATCCGTGGTCAAGCTCGAAAAACAAATCTATTACTTACAAACCAACTCTTGAAAATTAATCTGATACTCGCTAGTGAGTGACTTGCTACAGGACGGAGTTCCCTAGAGTTCTAGTGAGAAGTCATGACCAGTGAGGTCCATCCAGACGTCAAGTGTGAGGATGGATGTCCCACCGACGACATTGGTTGGTGCTAGTCACGCTAAATCACGAATTGACAGAAGTTAGAACTCATGGACTGGCCATTGAAATAGGTCCCAGTGGCTGGATGGTATACGATCCAGCTTTCCTTGTAACCGGTAAGTCTTGGGTTCGTACCGCAGCTGTGGGTGAATGTTTACTGCCAATGATTCCCAGTACTCCCTGGCTGGTTTTCAATGGTTCTTTAACTGATATCAATCCGTGGTTAAACTCGTAAAAACGTCTTAGACTTCACTGCTAGTCACCATTCCCTGAATAAGAGAAGTATAAATTGCCATATTCTGTTAATTTGTGAGATGGTCTTATTAGTGAATATTTATTTTCATACTTTATCAACGCCAACTTTATTTTAATAAGCCTTCTAGCTTGATAATAAAACGTCTATTGCCTCACTGTTTTAGTGAAAAAAATTAGTGATGAGAGCAACAGTCACTTCCCTAGTGATACAGAAATGATCATTGCTTCTCCCACGACGTTACTTGATGCCTTACTCATATTTAATTATAAGTAGTATGCAACACAACGTGGTCCAAGTGAGCTAACAGAGAGCTCTTTATTCATAAGTGGTTCACAGATTCAACCTCCGACTGACGCACTCTTAGACCCCACCTAGCCTGTATTAAGAAGGAAGGTTGGGTGTAGGGATGACAACCACATCTCATAAAAAAGTATCCACGCTATTTAAAGTTCAAAAGTCTGAAGCCCTATTTTCTACTCATGAAAAAAATACACCACGATATCATAAAACGGTATTACAAAAAAAAACAGGAGAGTGATCACCTTCATCCTGGCTGTAAAATCGTATCAAATATTACAGAAAATAGAGGATAATTGTAGAACTAATGAATTCATTTTTTGACCTTTCTAAGCATTGAAAATTTTGAACTCCCTGGTTTTTATAACATTTTTTTTTTATAGAAATGAAGAATTAAAACAAAATGGTTTAAAGAATACTCTCTTGATAGTGATTATCTTTCATATTTTCGCGGAAACTTTATATATATTACTTGATGATTGAAAGTAGTATGTTTATGTAAACAATTCAATAAATAAATTAGATTAAATCTTAAAAGGCACCTAATACTAAAGATGAAATGGGCAGACAATCAGAGTTTAAATAAATATCATAGTAGTACAAAGGAAATGGAAAATAAGAAAGGGTGGGTGGGGAGCTTTTAATTAGAATTTACCTAGGCCAATGGGGAGACAAAGGTAGAACAAATTTCTTTCGTACGCGAAGACTGGAGATGTTCTTTCGAATTCCCTCCCATCGCTTCGTCTATGTGTAAAAGACGGGTTTGAATTCACTTCGAAAGATTGGATGTAATGTGATAGATAACCTTGAGGACACTTATTCCATCCACTTGGTGATCGCTATCAATCAGATGAGACAGAATAGAACTTCTTGTAGAACTTATTTAGTCTTTCCCAAACCATGAAAGAAGATGCTCACCAAGGCATTTGTTGAGCTGTCTATTTGTCCGACCTATATTAGCTTTCTCCGCAGGAGCAGCTCCACTTACAAATGCATATAGAAATGGCGCAGCTAGACATCTTATCTTTTGCTTGAGCAATCATAATTGCTTGACTGGAAAATGACAAACAAAGGAGCGGCAGCAGTATAAGTCCGTCTTACGGTTGTAGATAATCTTAGATGTAGGATTTCATTATCCACGTCCCCCTTTTGTTATTCACGGAATTCATGTGTTTCCTTACAAATTTAATAGGATAACCCATTTGGATCAGTGTATTTTGGATTTATCCCAATTCATTTTCTGGGAGTCGTCAATACAAATCCTTCTTGCTCTATTGCTGAGACATCTAACCGAAAAGATTTTGTATAGGATTGCTACGAAACTCAAGAAAGTAAAATAAAAGTTTGAGTCAGAACTGACGGTCTCTGGAGTATCCAATTTAATATTTTTAGATAAATTTCATCATCAAATATTGTCAGTTTGAAATCCATAGAGAAAAACAGGGAGCTACTTCGTCCTAACCTACAACTCTTCAGCAGCGCACATCCATGATCTCATCAAGGGTCAGTTTAAAGCAAGTGGTTCATCTCATAGATTTATCTGAAAAATAATGTGACAGATATACACAGTCCGATAATTTGTTAAGTTAATTTTTTGGGGAATTTTTTTCAAAAGTCAATCTGAACGAAGGATACTCTTTTCAATAATTTCTCCTCTTGAGGTTCTTACAATTATAAAATATAATATTTGTTGGCGTTATAATAATGGTCAGTTATGCGATGGATACATTTTTTACGTAGAATACCAGATTAGTAGTTATGGGGTGTCAAAATAAATAGCCGTATTTGTGTGACAAACGTGCTAGGCTGAAATCAATTACAAAATATTGTGGAATGGGAGACAATGGTGGTGATTAGTCAGAATAGAGGCAAACAATGTGGGGTAAGAAAACTGACAAGTCATTTCAAGGTTATAAAAGGTGTCAGATGAGGGCCTAGTACAAAGTAGTATGTAGTACAGGTATGAAATCCTCAAACTAATCAAACAAAATCCCTACAAAAACCAATACTCGAAAATTAATCTGATGCTCACTAGCGACTGGTCCTATTCAGGTAGGTGTACCTGGAGTTCTGGTGGGAAGCCATGACCAGTAAGATACACCAGGTTGAAGATTGGGCAGTAACTCATCGAGGAAGACATTGCGAAGTGGTCACGATATGTCATGAATAGGCAGAAGTTAGATTTCATGAACTGGCTATTAGATCGGCGGGTCCCAGTGGCTCCCTAGCCTTGTAACCAGAAGGTCCTGGGTTCGAACCCTGACGGTGGGTGCGTACCACCAGAGCGTCTCAAACTAAGATGAAACAGCTGCCCAGTACTCCCTTGAGATTTTCCAATGGTTCGGTAACTGATGAAATCGTCCAACCAAACATAGAAGAATTCTTAAAAATGCAGGAATAAAAGTGGTTGGCAATCAAACCGACAAACAGAAATAAGCTTTGTCGGTTAAAGGATCCTGGGAAGCTAATTAAACAAAACAATACCCTGCTGGAATGATTGTCAGATCAAATACATAGGTCAAAGTAGTAGAACGGGGTCAGTCAGACTAGTGGAGCACAAAAACCTAGCAAAATCTAGATTAGTTGACCCTAATAAGATAAGAAATCTACAGAACTGTCCAGCTTTACCAGTTAATACATGCAGTTACACATAACTATACAACATGATGGGATAAGATAAGAGGTTTAAAATCGAATGTAACAGGATGGAGGGAGAGGTTGATAACACAAGCTTTGTTTATCGAATCAAGTGCAAACACATGTAATAGGAATGATTCAACACCTGTCCACCCAGACATGTGGAAAATTCTACTGCCCTTACGACGACAAATACGAAAGAATAAAGAAAACTATAAAAAGAAAGTTTCGAAGTAGCGGGATTATAATTGATATGATTATAAACATCAATAAATTGTGTTCGAAACTTTGTCATCCAGTAAATAATACTGTTTCACTCACTGTGTGGTGATACATCTAATAAGCAAACTAATATGGAATTACACACTACCACAGTACCCAAGTTGTAAATATATTTTAATCCAGAGAAGATAGTAAGACTGCCATGAGAGGTTCATAATGAAATAACCAATGTGTGAAATGAAACAGGTGGAGGCATATATTCAGAAAAGAGATAATATTACTAATAATAAGTCCAGATAGTATAAATGGAAAATTCGACAGTATTGAGTGAATGTTTGAATGAAGGGTATAACATTATAACGAATAATAATAGTAATTGTAATAATAAGCAAAGAAAGAAGAAATATCAAGAGGGTTAAGGGGAAGAAGCACTCTTGATGAGAAGAAGAATCACTAATCCAAGTTTAGCCGCGGTAGGTCTACGTAAACAGATAACAAAACTGAGGGGATTGGATGTAAAAGTAGTAGCATAAAAATTATCTTGTGGAACTACCAATGAAAATGTAATCGGCGAGAAAAAAGTCGCAAAGTCAAATGAAATGAAAAAAAGATAAACTCTTTTCTAGCATACTCAAAAGCGAGTGGAGTTTAACGAAGTGTTTACAGTCTCAGTAAATCTCATTGTGTAACCTCTAGCTATTTCAACTTAGAATCTTAAGAGCTACTTTGACACGAATTTGAAGATACCTTTTAGTTTTTTTTTTCTATAGATGGAAAGGGACTGGAGTAATGTAGAAATTTTAAACAAAGGAAACACCAAA